CTACGACACTAGAAAGTGTAATTCCACGACTCGATGTCAGTCGCAAAGCGCGTGGCAACCAGATCCCTCAGTTCTGGTGTATAAAATTTCCGGCGCCGTTCGGCCGCCGAAGACACATTGAGCATTTCAAAGTAGGGACCGTTGCAACATTTTGATTTTGCGCAAGCATGGGTCGTAGAGATGTGCTTCGCAAGGGTCGGCTTGTCAAAGCCAAGGCGCACACTGACTTCTGAGAGAGTAGACTCGAATCCGTGTTCGATGTGCGCTACGGCGTCGTAAGGCAATCTTTCTGGCCTGCATCGCTCGCTCTCGGGCATGAAATGAATGTTTGGTTTGTGTTGCCGGGACACGAATCGGATAAACTGTTGGAACTGGACCTCACAGGCTCGCTTAATGCCATAGGCTGCCGCGATCCCTTCCGCGCCACCACCGCCGTCAGGATGGACCACCACCTTTCCGATGAAAGCAGAAATCAGTCGATCCCAAGGATTGCGCACGGTGGTTAGCGCGACGAACGGCCTGCTGCACAGGAACTTTCGATCGCTCGCGCTGATTGGCGATGACAGATGTCTGTCCACCGCGAACGAGGATCGTTGCGAGTGCGACGTCGTATTTGCCAAGAAATGCTGCTGAATCATTGAGTCGATCGTTGTCGAGCCAGCCTTGGCGGTCGGGCAAAAAAAGAGCGAGGGTCCCCATGGTGACGGACGAGTGACTCTCAAGTCAGGTACGTTCAAGAAGCGACGACAGAGATCCGGACGCGCCTCTTGGGCACCTTCGAAAGCAAATGCCACTGCGAGTACCCACAAAGGCTTGATATAAATTCCAGAAGCAGCCGATCCCGTGGCGCTGAGGAGGAGAGCGATGATGGTCTTCATGTTCTTCATGTTTGGCCTGCGCGAAAGCGCCGTCGGCGAAGCGCTCGAGACGGTCGACGTCGTCGCCGATATCGCGAGCGCGCGCGCCCGTCGCTTTCGGGGGGGGTCCCAGGCGCGCGCGCGCCGCTGCAGGTATGTAAGCCGCGTTTTGGCGGGTACGCGTGGGCGGGCGCGCGTCAGGGGGCTTTTGCGCACGATTCTGCGACCTCAACGGCGTCTTCGGGCGCCCTCGACGCGCTCAACGCCTTCGGCGCCACCCCCCGAGGCGCGCGTCGGGCGATGGACTCTGAGGGGGGCGGGCAACGCGATCCAACCCCTAAAACGGCGCGAGAGCGCGCGCAAACGCGGCGCCGGCGCGCGCGAGACGGCGAGCAGTATGACTTTGTGCATGTGCACAGTAAAGCAGATCGGAGTTAATTTTGACCCCTCGAGCTATGGGAGCTATTGGCACGTTTTTTTTGACTTTTTTTTTTCGATGCTCCTACGCGCCCCGGCGGACCCCCGGGGCACCAGGGGGTGGGGAAGGGCGCTGCGACGCGGCGGCAGTGTCGATTCCACACATAGGGCTGGGGCGCCCCATAGGAATTAAGTAACTAACTATCTCGGCCGGCCGGAGTACGTCTAGGGAGCTATCCTGGGCCGCCAGTACGCCTAGGGAAGGGGCGAGGTCGTCGAACCTCGGCAAAATTGGTCGCCTATATCAAATCATGTCAACATAAGCTCGTTATATGTCGAAAAAAGGCGATTTGGAGGCGTTTGGGGGGCAAAAAATCGGGGAAACGTGGTAATTGAACTTCAACATTGCACTTCAAGTGCAAACTTTTTGATTCAACT